TTAGAAAGAGATTTAATCATTCAAATTATTAAATTTATTTGAGGATTAAATCTTTGATGTTATCCTTCAATCCATATCAAAATTAGAATTGAATTAGAAAAAGATATAATCCTCAAATAGATTGGATTTCTTACAATCTTGATTTTTTCCATAGTTTGGCTTAAGATTCTACTAGGCAAGTAAAAATCCATAAGATTGATACATCCAAACCATTATTGGTAGATGTAAGAACTTTTATGTATGGTGCAAAAGAAGGATTAACTTTTGATATATACGCCACATCTATTGTTGATAGAAAAAAGATTTCAAGTAGCATTCTAAGCCAATACAAAGATTATCAGGGCATATTTGAAAAAAAAATATAAATATTTGTCCAAAGCATCATCTTTATGATTGACGGTTTAAAAAAGAACTCAACCACTATTTGGACTAATCTATAGCCTATTACAAAACGAATTAGATGCATTCAAGGAATACATTGATGAAAAATTTGGCTAAAAACTTTATACAACATTTTAAATTTTTAGCTGAGGCTCCTATCTTATTTGTAAAGAAAAAAAAATAGATCTCTGTGGATGTGTGGAGACTATTAAGGACTCAATAAGAACACCATCAAGAATAAGTATCTTCTACCCTAGATTCAAAGATTTCTTGATCAACTGAATCAAGCGAAAATCTATACAAAATAGATCTATAAAGAATATAAAATTTGATATACATTAAAGAAAGAGATGAATAAAAAATTATATTTTAAACTAAATATAGGTATTTTGAATGTAATGTCATATTTTTTGGAGACAAGAATTTACCAACTACTTTTTAACATCTAATTAATGATATTTTTTATAAATTTTTAACAATTTTTCTATTATTTAGAAAATATCTTAATTTATTCTAAATATATAAAAAAGCATGAGATTCATGTTTGTTGTGTGTTACAAAAATTAAAAGATACAAGATTATATGCCAAGATGAAAAAGTATATATTTTAGACTACTCAAGTTGATTTCTTAGGATACATCATTTCAAATGCTGGTCTTATGATGGATCCCAAGAAGATTCAAACTATCACAAATTTGAATATTCCAAAAATAGTCAAAGATGTATAATATTTTTTAGGATTTACTAATTGTTACCAAATCTTCATTAAGATATTTTTTCAAATTATGGCCCCTCTTATATACCTTGAAAGTTTGTTTCTTACATGTAAAAATAAACTTAAGTAGAGTAAAGAAGCCAAAGCATTTTTTGAAGCCTTGAAGATAAAATTTATTTTTATACCAATCTTGTATTATATTGACTTTTTGAAGATCTTCTTTATGAAAACAAATGCATCAAATTTTGCTATGAGTGTCATTTTGTTACAAATGGGAGCAGATGACAAGCTCCATCTAATAACTTTTCATTCAAAGAAATTTTTAGCACCCAAGATTTTTAAAGTATAATTTTTTTGAAGCCAAAACATTTTCATCTTTAGACAATAAAATCACCATTGATTGTTGATTCAAACTTTGTCAAACAAATTCAATCAAGTATGTCCTTTGATCTTCTTGTTCATGATATCAAAAACACTTCTTCTAAGTCTCATAATACTTCTAAGTTCAAGTTCAAGAATAATCTATTCTATTTTGAAGAACAATAATATATTCCAAAAGGCAAAGCGCAATTACATATTCTTCAAGCTTGTCATGAATTTCTAGCAGTTGGATATTTTGGATAAGATAAGACTTTAGAGCTAATATTAAGATATTTTTAGTGGCCTCAAATGTAAAAGGCAATTAAAGACTTTGTACAATCATGTGATATTTGTTCAAGATCTAAAATTTCTTAACATCAATCTTATGGACTTTTCTAATAATTACCTATTTTGAAAATACTATGGTCTTTTATTTCTATGAATTTTATTACAAATCTTTTAGTCTCAAGTTTGTATGATTCTATATTTGTAATAGTAGATTATTTTACCAAAATGACATATTTTATACCATGTATAAAATGTATCATAAATGAAAAAATCGCTAAGTTTTTTTTTGATAATATCTATCACTATCATAAGTTGACCAAAGATATTATATTAGATAAGAGGACTTAATTTGTATCAAGATTCTGAAAAATATTTTTTAAGATTTTAAAGGTGGATGTAAAGCTCTCCTTGACTTTTCATCCTCAAATTGATGGGCAAATAAAATGAATAGATCAAGTTTTAAAGTAATATTTTAGGTGTACCATCAATTATTATCAAGATGATTAGACAACTCTTTTGTCATTAGCAAAGTTTGTGTATAATAATTTGATACATTTTTTTATCCAACAAACACTTTTTTTGCCAATTATGGTTATTATCCACAATTTGATGCTTTTGACTTTTTAAAAGTTGATAATTCTGTGACAAAATATTTAGCAAATCATTTGTTAAATCTACATGCAACAATGAAGGTGCAGTTAAAGGAAGCTCAAAAACAACAAAAGTTCAATGCGGATGTCTATTGTAAGGAGTAACTACAATTTATCATAGATGACAAGAGATGGCTACTTTATTGTAATATCAAGACTACTCGTCCTTGTGACAAGTTGGACTATTGTAGGCTTGGATCTTTTCTTATTTGTTAAGAAGTCAATCTTGTTACCTGTTGATTACATCTACCAAAGTCTATGAAAATCCATACTAAATTCCACATGTTTCTTATTGAGTCATATAAGATAGTGAATATCTTCGAATAAAGACAAATACCTCTTCTTATAAAAGTGAATAATAATCAAGAGTTAAAGATAGAAGAAGTCTTAGATTGAAGGTGGCATCAAAATAGATCAAAATATCTTGTTAATTGGTATGGATATGATATTAGTGAATGCACATGGGAGCCAACAATGAATCTTGTAAATGCAACAAAGAAGGTTGAGGCTTTTCATTGATGACATCTATCAAAATCAAGATGAAGAATAACATATCTTTGCTATAAAAGAAACAAGATTAAAATACAATAGCATTCTACCTTCTACTCTTGTTTGTAACTTTTGTATACTTGTGATATTAAAAAGATGGAATATGTGGCAAACACAATTTGCCGCATCTTGGATTTTCTTAACATATGATGATTGCTCTTTATAGAACTCGTCTCTAAATAGAAGGATAATATTATAGACATATATGTACTCTAATATTTAACTATGTAATTAAATAGAAGTATATAAAAGTATATTTATTTCATAATATTTTTTAAAAAAACTTCTTAGAAGCTTCATAGACGTTATTTTGACTTTACATGTATTTGTACTTTATAAGTAGGTTAAAAATTTTGTCAAAAAATTAATCACATGTTGGTAGCTTGCTGGAAAAAGCTAATTATGTGGCGCACATATAGAAAACTTGCCTTGCAAGTTAAGATATGTGTTTTGTAAAGTCAACATGTTTTGGAGGTCTTATAGGACATTGCCACATAATTCCTAGTTAAGAGTATATATGGAGGCAAGAGTGAATCCTTTTTCATACTTTTCAACATCTTTCTAGACTTTAGTCTTATTTCAGGACTTCCTAGTCTTTTTGTCTTTAGCAATAGACATTTTAATTTAATACTATATCATCTTTGAGTAATTTTCTAATCTTTTCAAATGATACAAGAGTGTATTGAAATTTTAGTTCTTTGAGGTTCATTTCCTTGACACAAAGTTATATTTCAAATAATTATCTAAAGACTTAGTTGATTTAGTAATTGGTAGTAATTTTTTGTATACATGAAAAAATATAAATTATAATTTTATTTTAAAAATAAACATAAAAATAAAATAAAAATATATAATATAAATTTTAAGGCTTATTTTGCAAGCATAGAAGATATAAGCCTTAAAATTTATATTAATGCTATAAATTCTAGTCGCTTAATTTTATTATCACCTTGGTTTAAAATTTGATAATAAAGGTCTTATTTGTTGATTCTATAAAACCACCTTCTTATGGATTAGTTTTATAATAAGTAATTTATGAAAAAATTTACAAATAAAATGTAATCAATTATAGTTATAAATATCAAGTTTATAAAATAGATACATTGATGCTATGTAAATAGCCAAATTGAGTCAATATATGGATAGACAAGAAGTATGTTGTTTCTTCTATAGTATTACTACAAAGAACCATTGTTTCTATCTATTTGGTGACATAGCTTATAGATACAAAGATGTACTTACATTCAATGTAATAAGTTTTAGAAAATAATCTATGAATTTTAATTTTTATTTAATTTTATTTATTTATAATTTTTAAAAATAAATTACAAGATTTATAAAATTTACAATATATTTGTATATTATAGATCACTAATATTCTATGTCTAATATTGTATGTCCAACATTGGATTATGTAATATAATTAGCATCTTACTACTCAATCACAAGTTTTCTATTTCCATCATAATTTGTCATCCACTGCATGCCACCATAGTTTTTGCTATCGCTACCAAAACCCCCAATCTATTCAACATATTTTTTTAGTTTTCTTTTTTAATAAAAAAAAAAAAAAAAAAAAAAAAAAACTTAGTATTTCTAATATATATATATATATATATATATTTAAATTATATAAAAAGTAAATTCAATTTTAGTTTAAAGAATAATTAAAAAGTCAATAAGAATAGCTATGATGGCAATACCAAAAAATGTGATAACATGTAGTGGATGGCAAATTGTGGTGGCATTAGCAACACATCATAATTGTAGTATTATTTTTTTATAATACTTTATTGCCTACTTGGTCTAATTCTATTAGGGACAGAACGTACATGATGGATATGTGTACTACCTTCGCACTTCTGGATTCAACCATTTGTACCTTTGGTTTTTGACAACTACGTGAATCACTACTAAAGGTTTGCAACGTCCACATACATAGAACTTTACCAAACTCGAGAAGAACCCCCATAATTCCAGAGTCCCCGCAAGATCCTGTCCAATATGATCCTGTCGATCAGAACCCACATGCATGAACCCTCTCCAACATTTCAACCTGTAAGAAAACTCAGCTCCTCTCTTAGATTGGCTTAGAAATTTCAGAAATAACCGAACAAAAAGCAATAAATGCTCCAGTTGAGAGTGTATTGCCATACAAGCCATTTCCAAGCTAACCACACTGTTATCCTGAACATGTAAATTCCTGGGTGAAAAAAAAAAAATACAACTAATTAATTCGTTTGTCTCCACATCACTTCTTTAGCACCAGAACGTATGCTGAATTCAGGAAACAGTGCAATGGTGCTCATGCTGTACACTGTCATACAAACCATGAACTGAACCTGAGAAGCCTCTTTGAATTTGAGATTTCTGCCGTGATTACATGCATGATGATTCAATCAGTCGACAGACCAGGAGGCCAAGGCTTCTCTTTCAGGACACCACCCATTTCCATATGCCAAGCACGGTCTACCAATGGCGTCAATTCCCTGGCCACGAAAAACATCAGAGAATGAGTAGCACTTCATTCGACAAAGAGAAAACAAATGACATACAATAGAAGCTATACACCACACAAAATAAACAGCACTATACATGACTATCAGCAAAAGAGAAATATATGATGAGGATATTAACCAAGACGTGCACAAGGAAAGTACTTGAGATCATGGCTAACGATAATAATGGTGCACTCCTTTTTGAGTCCCCACAACAACTTCACCACGTCTGCACGAGCTTTCCAATCTGGCAACAACCACAGCAGCACATACATCGGGCCATCAGATGTCCAAAAATACATAACATAAACCAGACTTTTTCGCCTATTATACCTCAGGTCTCAGGATCTGAAATTCTTCAATATTGCACTCTGAATCTGAACGAAGGTAAGAACTTTACAGTACATTGAGATCGTCCTTGGTATGTCGATTAAGTCATTTTTCCAGATTAGACAAACGATCCACAAAATCCACTCCAACAAGTTACACAGCTGTAAAATCGTAAAGTTACTGCAATAGATACAAACCTAGACCAGCGAGTGGTTCGTCCAAAAGAAGCAGATCAGGCATTCGAACCTGATACAAGATGGTAATTACCCACGACACTTCAGTATGCAAAACCTAACAAAGGTTACGTGGAAGTGACTCTTAGTAACATGTAGTTTGGCGCGGACGGTCGCAAAAAATATGTTCAGAAATTCTAAATTGCCAAAAGTTCCATGTCGATTCAATTCAAAATACCAGTTGCACAGCTAATGCCAAGCGCCGCTTGTACCCTCCACTCAGAGCCCGCGGGTTGGTGTCGAAGGGGATGTCAGCCATTCCAACCTGCAAAACTAAAAACTGTAAAAAGTGGTATTCAAGCTTAAACTTCGAAAATATCATCCATACCATGGATCAAGAAGCAATACCCCACCCTATTTCAACACTAAGACAAAATAACAGTTAGACAAAAGTTCTACTCCTGAACCAAGCTCTTAAAGCAATATGCTACGAGAAATCAGTTACGATTTGCTCATTCTAAAAGTTACAGTTCAATGCAACCACAAATATCAACAGATTAGTTCAGAGATACTACCGCAAATACAGCTGCTTGTAACCTCATTGCAAGCTGCTGTCTCATAAGCATATCTTCCATTCTTCTGGGCCACCCAAAAGTAAGCTCTTCTAAGACCGTGTCTGCTACAAAGTACCTGCCAGCAAATAAATGACATCTCAATAATTGTAATCACCGATGGAAGTCGAAGACCAAGAAACGGGGGTGCCCCTGCTGGTTCTGCTTACAGATACAATAGTAATAAAAGTACATTATAGATTGACAAAAATTCCTTTAGTGGAATGATAGGAAAATGCACTCACCGTTCAGGAAACTGAAAAACGATCCCGACTTTTGATGACAACGACTTTTCTGTGCTGTCTTTGCCAAGGATGATTGAACCTTCCGTAGGTGTTGCCAAGCCTGCTAAAACCTGATGGAAAAAAGTAGTTTAAGAACATATTTTTTTCCCTGAAATGCGCTTCTAAACGTAAAATGATTGATACTTGCCTGCAAAAGAGTTGTTTTCCCGCTGCCACTGCGACCATACACCAGTCCAAGGCTGCTCACAACGATCACATAAAAATGCGGAAAGTCAGGACCCGCATATAGTATAATCTTCAATCAAGCCGATAAATGGACCCAAAAACTGCAATGCTAGATAATGGCACAGCTACTTGATTGATGCAGGCTGAGATGTCTCTACTTCTTCAACAAGGACGCTTTGTGCCCAGATCTGTGACGCGTTACCTTTTCTCTGAGAGAGAAAGAGAGACATCATTAAGCAAATCAATTGCAGTACCCGGTGGCCTGTACTTGACACCTCGCACCTACACAATATCCCACATCTCTACAGAAAAATGAGAAAGAAAAAAAAAAAAAAAAAAATTCAGATTCAATTTCGCTACCAAACCTCCAATAACATATAGAGATGAACACCATTTTTCACGATAATTACACTGAGTGCACGAAGGTACTTGATTAAGGCAGGAATAACAGTCACATTTTGGTACGTTCTTCTCAACGACAATTTAGTTGATTGAAAAAGGTTAAAACCCTAGACAACCTCCATGAAGAACTAAGTCCTTTAAACGCTAGTCTATAAACCCTTCAGCTCCATCAGTTGAGCAACCTGCACGCTAATCTCAAAGAGACGCATTCACAAAACATGGGAGTTGTGGAAAAAAAAACAAAAAAAACAAAAACAAAAACAAGAACAAAAATTCAGAAAGAAAGAGGTCAACGCTGCAATAATCTCTGCGATATCCTCGTCACATGAATCATTGGAATTCACTAAAGATGACCTAACGTAAGTCCATGACTTCTATTTTTCATTATCGTGACCACAAAATTCACATGATTGTATCCAGCTTGTTCTAATTGCACAAAATTTTCTTTGCAGAGGGTTGCCGTTCAAAGACCTCTGACCAGAGAAATACGTCGTAACTCAAAATTTAGGATTTGGACTCACGCTTAGGAACCTGCAGACTAACCTGAAGAAGCTCGTGATCGAGGCTGGAAGTCGAGGCATCACCACTGCTCTCGATTCCAGAAGCCAATGCGGCTTCAACCAACTGCAACCTCGATCTTGCCCTGGCAACCCTAATTGACCCAACGTCCTTTCGCAGCATACTTGTGTTTCCACTCCATGAACTCTTTCGCGGCAGGGTACCGGATGAAATTTGGCCAAATTCTGACTGGAAACTAGAGCTGGAATTCTCCTCTTTCAGGCGAAGAACACGGGAAACCCGCTTCCAGTGGCACGCAATAGACATGAACGAGGAAGAAGCCATGGTGTCTGATAGCAACAACCATCAATTCCCCCAATTATCCCCACGAGATTCAACTGGGAACCATCTGCATGAACGATACCACAACGAAGCCTTCCTTGTGCTTCGTCTGCAAGCTGCATCAATTCCTGAGCCACGCGAAAATTCCAACTGTTTCACCTGATTTCGCAAGAGGCACAGCGACAGTGCTCGTCCCAACGAAGGCGTGGCCGCCGAGAGACGCCGCCGCCCGTCCGCGGCTATCAAAGTACTCAGCGGAGAGTTGTCTTGAAATTTGTGTTGAAATTTGCATTGTCCGTGCCATTGTCACAGAAAATTGAATCTTCAATGTGTTGTAAGCTATCTGATTATTCATTATCAATAAAAAAAAATCATTTACTGGACCAAGTAATGATGTTTCAAACTGAATTTGCATGTTTGGGAATCTATTACATAAACCATTGTTGGCTTCTTCAGCAGTTCTATTCCCCCCAAGTAAGCTTCTCCACTGTTGGCAGTGCCTGCGTGGATGAATGGATTGGTGTTTTGTGCAACAAAGCTTAAGATGAGGAGGATGTTTGTGGGATGAACGATGATGAAGTGGGATTGTTTTGTCCTTTTCTAAATGAATCTTGGATATCAAATGAATCTCCACATTAGCAATCAAAACCAATTCATTTCTATTGTATAAAATTGTATAAAAACAAAAGTAATTAAAATTTCTCCTTTCTATATGATTAAAAATATTTTTTAGCCATTAAAGAGTATTATGAATTAACAAAAATAATCCATAATACTAAGAATTGGAAAGGTGCTCCTTATTAATAAAATTCACCTAGTTTTTGATACTAAAATAGGAAAAAAATTAATTCTTTACTCTATGATGAACCAAATTGTGATGAAGATGTCAATGGATGGAATTCGCAATTTATTGTTATATATTAATAATCTCTTGAAAAAAAACACCTAACTCACTTTTGATTACAAACCTATATAATAACCAAAATAAGACATTAAGTTCTTTCTTCAACATCCTTTTCTTATTTAACAATAGATGTTAGTTTAGGATTTAAACATCACAAAGTCTTTACCCTGCTAAATTCAAGAGCCTCAACTTATTTTTAAGATGAAGTGTTTGCTAAAAGGCATAACATATCTTTAATAAAGAAAAGAAAAATTGTTCATATAGAAGTCATAGATAGTTGTTTGTTGTCCTTTGGAGACATTATTCATAAAATATTTTCTTTAGAAGTATTAATTAATGATCATAATAATTTTGTAGTATTTAATATCATTAAATTTCTTTATAATTCAATCATTTTAGGTTTATTGTGGTTAAAAAAATATAATCTTCTAATAGATTGGATTTTTTGTAGTCTTGACTTCTTTAAAAGTAGAATTAAGAGTGCAGTTAATCAAGTAAAAAGTCATAAGTCTAGTACAACTAAACATATATTTGTAGATGCAAGAGCTTTCTTATATGTTGCAAAAGAAGGATCACCTTGTGTCTCTTATGCCACACCTATTTCTATTAGTGGAAAGACTTCAAATGACATTTTTAGCTAATATTAAGATTTTAAAGTTATATTTGAGAAGAAAAAAAAATACAAATTCTCTTCTGAAACATCCTTCCTATAATTGTTCAATTGACCTTGAAGAAGGAGCTCAACCGACCTTTGGACCAATCTACAATTTATCACAAAATAAGTTGATTGAACTCAAGGAGTATATTGAAGAGAATTTAGCCAAAAACTTCATACACTATTCCAAATCTCTAATGGGAGTTTTAATTATATTTGTAAATGAAAAGATGGATCATTGCAAATATATATTAATTATTAAGGACTTAAGAAGATCACTTTAATAAGATATAGATAAGATATTTGTACATATGGATAGATAGTTAGAACTATGGAAGTTTCTAAAATTGAGATTAGGTTAGTGGACTAGGTAGGCCCCATTGAAGAACATTCTAGAAAGAATTTAGGATAATTATCTACATGGGGCCAGCCATAGAATCTTTTAAAAAATACTTAGGATGGTTATCAAGATAGAACCCACTATGGAACCTTCTAAAAGGAATTTAAGGTAGTTATGCAAGTATGGTCTATCATCTAAGAACATTCTAAAAAATATAAATAGAATCGGTCATGGCCTTTTGGGGCATCTGGTCAAGTATGGCTTCAGATCCTTTCTCTTAATACAATTGAATTTTGTATCTTCATATTTTGTTTTGTTTTGTTCTAATTTTGATTGTTCCATTTTGTCTTTTGTATCTCATTTTGTTTAATTCTATTTAATTTTGTTTTGGTCCAATTTCTCTTACTTTGTGATGAGATTTTATATTGTTGTGGATTAGAAGGATCTTTGATACTTGACATAGACTGGTCATGTTTCATTGGTATCAGAGCAAGTATTAGACTATTTTTTTTGTAGTGTATCAATAGTCATCATCTAGTCCAAGGTCAATTGTTGTAGTTATACTAGATACTATGTTGAGGCTACCACAAGCTACTCTGAAAAAGTCAATCGGAAAGTAAAAAGGCATTATAATAGTAGAGTCTAGTAGAGAAATTATAGCATAGGAGATATGGCAAAGCAATCCTAGATGGAGGTTCAAATATAACACCTCTTAGGCCAGATAGCTACTTTGTAAGAGTAAATAGAAGCCTTGAAGACAAAGAAGTTGACATCTACTAGGCTAAAATTGTGTAAGCCTAGTACATACTGTCGGACTTCAAGATAAGAAGAAATATGTCAATGGCTCTTCAACATGTAATAATACTTTTAATTATCTAGAAGAAATACCATTGAAGGAATTATATATGCAACCAACTATTTAAAAGATGTGATAGCCATTTGGTGATGACATCGAGCTCAAAATTATGGAGCTCAAGGTGGATTTTATGATTGAAAGTATAGAGGTAGAACTAAGGGATCCACAAATATTTGAAGAGACAATTCGGATGGCAGAGAGGGTCAATGCAATAGATTTCAAAAATTGTGGAGCACAACTTATAGCACAAAGTCCTATTCTACTATCTAATACTATGATATAACAACCAACGCCAATAGAGATTGATGCCCTACAAGGATCATTGATACTACAAAGACGAAAAATATTGGTATAAAAAGAATTGTATTTCTATTGTCAAGAGCTAGGCCATCAAATCAAAGATTGTCTAAAACATCAAAATTAAGCACCAATAAATTAAGGCAGATTCACAGTTTCAAAACTCACTAAGTTAATAATGAGACAAAGCAAGAAAATGGGACTCTTCAATAAAGGCACCAAGAGCCAATATTGGAGATAGCTACTATCTCTTAGAGACAAATGGCATAGCCTTAGACAACTATAAAAAGAATCGACTAATACATCTAATGAGACTACAAAAGAACAATCATGTCGAATGTTTGTAGATTGTGGTTCTACAAAAAATTCCATCTCAATTGAAATTATTGATTGATTTGGAATTAAAACTAAAGCAATCAAAGGAAAAAGAATATTCTTTATAAATGACTAAAAAAATATATTGAATGAAACATGTAAAGAAGAAACCTTGATGTCGATTGATACCTATGTTTTAAGAGAGAAGTTCAAGGTGATAAAGCTAAGATATGATGTTATTCTTGGTATGCCATGCCTAAAAATGAGAAATAAGTAAGTTTATAATATAGAAAGGACTATCTCATTTAAAGATGGTGGACATAAGATGACTCTTCACACCTCTGTAATAAGTCAAGAGAAAAGATAATCTACAACCAAAGACTTATTCATAATAATGACCTTTATAAAAAAGCAAATACAACATAAGAAATTAGTATATATGGTGGTTCCAAATCTTGCATCAATAGTAGGAAAAAAAGCCGAAGGAGTAGAAAAGATAAATCAACTTATATGAAAATATCAAGATGTCTTTCCAACTGACATATTTAGTGGCATGCCTCTTGATCGAGGTGCCCTCTTTCAAATAGAACTATTGTCTAGAGCCAAACCAGCAAGTCAACCAATTTATCACCTAGCATCAAAAAAACTTGAAAAGCTGTAAAAGACATTAAACAAACTCTTAGAAAAGGCCCCATTTGAGAAAGCACATCACTATGGAGAGTACATGTACTCTTTGCACCTAAGAAAGATGGTGGACTTTGCCTTTGCATCAACTATCAAGGCATTAATAAGCAGACTGTTAAAAATAAATATCCTTTTCCTCGAGTGGATGATCTTCTTGATTAACTTCAAGATGTCACCATCTTTAGTAAATTAGATCTTTGGAGTGGCTATTGATACACACCTATTGCAAGAGAGGATGTAGAAAAGAAGAATCATTGTGTACATGCTATGGATATTTTAAATAGTTGGTTTTACCTTTTCGCCTCACTAATGCTCCAACATGTTTGATGGATCACGTGAAGAGATTGTTTTGGGATCTTTTGGACAAGTATGTAGTCGTCTTCATTGATGATATCCTTGTATGTAGTAAAATTCTTGAAGAGCATGAGCAATACCTATGAAAAGTGTTGTGATAGTTATAAGATAGTTGTTTTTATTGCAAGCAATGAAAATGTGAACTTTGGAAGTTGGAAGTCACCTTTTTGGAGCATGTGGTGTCCTTCAAAGGCATGTGTATGGAGCAAGATAAGGTGAAAGTGGTAGAGAATTGGCCAACCTTCAACGATGCTTTTGAAGTCCACTCATTTTTAGGCCTTGCTAGATATTATCACTATTTTTTTTAGTGATTTGCACACATTACTACATCATTGATAAAAAGGTGCTCAATTTTAATAAAAATTGGAGCAGCAAAGCACCTTTGATAGATTGAAGGAGGCACTCATTATTGCTTCAATATTGCAATCGTATGATCTCAACTTTCTTTGTATGCTTGACATTAATACTTTTGACTTTGTTATTAGAACCATCCTTCAACAAGACTATGATAGGGCCCTTCAACTTGTGGCATATAAATCACACAAACTTAGAAGGACAAAGTACAATTATTCTATATATGATTGAGAGCAATTAGCAATTGTACATGCCACAAAGGTGAAGCAACACTATCTATTAGAGAAGCCAATGGTTGTTCAAACTGACCATTAATTCTTGCTATATAATTTGCATTTCAAAAATATAAAATCACAACATCATCTTTGGAAAGAACAATTATAACTTTTTGATATTCAACTTGAGTACAAGCAAGGGCAAT